TGGGAGCCCGTCCGGGGCAGAACCTGCCCTGTCTTAGCCCTGGCCCTGGCGCCCAGGTCATTGGACTCCAGCCTGGAGCTGTATCCGGGTGCTCCCTTCTGACCGGGGTCCAGAGGTGTCCCGCTGTCAGTCTGTCCTTCCTCCTGGGCCGAGGGCCTTTGTCCTGGGGGCAGGGCTGCGTTGCTGGGGCGTTCCCTGGCACGTCTGCTTCCTCTGCTGCCCTCAGAGCAGGATTTGGGCAGTGCAGGGACGGATGGCTCCCTTTAGGCTGCTGGGGGGCGGGGAAGGGGAGGTGGCCAGGGCTACAAGGCTAGAGGAGGCTGGCGCCAGCCCGGGGCCACAAGGCCAGAGGAGGCTGGCAGGCCTGGCTCAAGGAAGCTGCTTGGTGGGAGGCCGCCTCGGGAGCTGACCTTGTTCCCGTGGCCTCCGTCCCACGGCTCTGAGGCCGTCCCGGGCCGTTCCTGGGCCCTGCAGCCCATCAGCATCCGCCCAGCCCTCCTGCCTGGCCCTGCTGCAGCTTCCGCCCACCCAGACCACGGCGGGGGGGGGGGGGGGCGGGGGGGGCTGCCTCGGTCTTTGTGCAGCTGCCTGCTCCCTCCTCCTCTGGCCCTGCCCTCACCCTTGGTGGAGTTGGGCCGGGCGCTGGCTGTGGGTCGGTGAGCAGGAGCAGCGTGGAGGAAGCGGCCGGCACTGCCAGGGCACAGGGCACCTGGGGGGGCCTGGCTGTGTGCCTGTGGCCCCGCGCCATCTGCTGTTGGCGGGTGGGTGCTGCTGGGTTCCAGGCCCCCAGGGGCTTGGGCGCAGAGCAGTGGGCAGAGGGCAGGTGCTGGGGTTCTGTGTTTCTGGCCCTCGGGCTGGGCGCCACTTTGTGGCTCTGGTACCGGGGCAGCCTCCACCTCCCGGTCTGCTGAGCAAATACTGGCGACACGTGCTCTGGGCACAGCAAAATGAGACTGCAGGTCAGACAAGGTGGCAGGCTGGGGGTCTTTTCTCTCTCCTGCCTCGGTAGGCGCACCATTCATTGCCCTCTGCTTGCTTGGACGCAGCTGAGGGCAGGCCCCTCGTTGCCCCACGGCCCCTCTGCCCCTTTCTGCTGCCCTGCCTGCGCTGGGTGCGTGGAGACCTCTTGGGCTGGGAGAGTCCCTAGTGTGGCCCACCCAGCCTCTGTCACTTCCTCTAGTCGACCCCGGCACTCTGTGTGCTCCCATCCTCCCAGAGCCGCCCCTGCGTCTCTCCTTCCAGCCCAGTTGGCTTGGATCCTGCTGGGCTGCTTCCCCTGGGGGGCTGCCAGGCCCGCCCAGTCTGGGGCTCTAGCCATGCCCCCCAGGTCCCTGCACCCTCCTGTTGGAGCCCTTGTCACAGGACATTCTGGTTGGCTCCCAACCAACGTTCATGTCCCTGAGGCCAGGACCAGGCCCACCTTGTTCACGTTGGACGCAGTGCCCAGTGCGCTGTGGGCCCACAGGGTGTATCTGGGGAGTTGTGCCTAGGCCTCCCGGGTGCCTGCCTGGGCTCCTGGTAGCCCCCCCAGGACAACATAGGGACTCTGGGGCCACCCTCCAGACACCTGAGGAGAGTGCTGGGTCCCTGCCCGGGTCGTCCGCCCAAGGCAGACACCCCCGCAGCCTGTCCACCCTACTCTGTTTCCAGACTCCTCTTTCTGGATGATGATCTGATTGGAATCTTACAAATGAAGCTCTGTATCTTAAGATGATACGTATCTAAAATTTGGAGAATAAATGAGCCCTACAAGGTTGTTTGAGACAGAAGAGTTGTCCCTTCTTCCTCTCCCCAGAGTTAGCTACTTCTGACCCTGCAGATCTCTGGATAGCGGGTCTCTGCTCTCAATAATGTGCTCAGTCATGCTGCTGCGTGGTTTTCAACAGTTAGGCATGATTTATCGACTTGCCAGATGATTGACGTGTGCTTTCATGCCTGTGCTTTGCACGCACACACACCCGCTCGAGCATACATGCATGAACGTTCATGCCAACACATGCTCGTGCACACACATGAATACCCACACACATGCTTGAACACGTGCATGCTTGAGCACACATACATGCTGGAGCATACATACATGCTGGAACACATGCACGCACACATTCTAGCACACGTGAACACCCATGCACATACAGATCTGAGCGTACATGCATGCACATGCTGGAGCACACACATGCGCACGCATGCACACACGCGGTCCCTTCCCCAGTGCTGCTCCGGGCTGCATCCTACCGTGGGCAGGTAGATGAGGCCTTTCCTAAGTGCAGTTGCTGCTGGGGGCTGAACCCCACGGTGAACCGGGATCGTCCTCATTTCCTGCTCACCGTGTTTTCCTGGAGCCTGGTTGTGTCCGGCTGCCACAGTCTTCCCTCTCTCCCTGAGGAAGTCTCTCTGGAGCCTTCTGCCACCCCGTTAGCTGGTTACCCTCCCGGCCCCAGCATACCATCCACCCCAGGCCTCCGTCCCCTCCCCTCCCCGGGATCCCTCACCTTCTGCTGCAGGTGGTCATGCCTGCCTGTTTTCCTGGATTATCCCTGCTGGATGGGAAGGACAGGGAAGGGCCCGATCCCTGTCTGGAAGCGCCTTCTATGCCGCTTGGGGCCACCGTGGTTTCGGGTTCTGTCTTTGCGGCCCGTGTGCCCCGCAGGGCAGGCCCCTCTGGCCATGCTGCATGGTGCTCTGCTCAGTGGCCTTGAGTTCTGGGTCGCTCATCCCCTTTCCTGGGTGTCCTCTGTCTCCACGATTGCTGTCCCTTGGATGTGGGGGCACGGTTGGTCCTGGCTTCCGCACCTGTTCGTTTTTCCTTCTGCTTCCTCAATGGCATCCCCCATGCCGCCCGAGCACCCTTCCACTGAGCTCTGCACTTCCGTGCCCGCCGTGCCCTCTCTCAGCACCTTGGTGTTCTCTGGGCGCCGACAGCGGCCTGTTGGGTGTTGGGCAGTGTCTCCTGTCTCTGAGGATGGTGGTGAGGGGCTGGGTGACCTGGATTCACTCTTGGAGAGGCCGTGCAGTGAGATCACGGGCACTGTCCTGCCAGATCCCAAGCCCTTCTCTGCTGGCTGCCAGCCGCATGGCCTTGGGTGCCTTACTCCTCGTGCCTCAGTGTCCTCGTCTGCCATGTGAGGCAACAGTGGGGTCTCCTTCCAGGTCTTTGTGAGGACGGCGTGCGAGTCTGTGTAAGGCGTGCAGGGAAGTGTGGGTGCGTGCCGGGGCTCTGGGCACCCGCTGTGCACTTACCACTGTATGCTGTTCCTCCGGGTGCTGCTTCCTCCACGTTGTGTCCCCACGAGGCCTGGGCTCCGTCTTCCACATCCGACGTGTTCCCAGGTGTGTCCTGGGCTGTCAGGTGCTGGCGAGCATGCAGGTGCCCCTCCTCCAGGCTGGCGGCACCCCTACCTCCTCGCTCCCTGCTGGCTGTTTCTGCTCCTCCCCGGGCTGCCCCTCTGCCCTGGGAGCGTCCAGAAAGTGAAGGGAGGTCCAGCGGCGGCCTGGGCGGGTGCCGGGATTCAAGGCCTGGGACCCGTGGGAAGGAAAACCATGTGCTTTCCCCAGGGATCCCCAGAGTCTGCAGACCCTGAGTCCCTGTCCGGCGTCCCTGGGGCCCCGCGGACAGCTCCGCTGTGTGGGGCCAGATTCTGTCGTTCACTTGGACCAGTGTCGCATCACAGCTGACTCCGGATGCAGGTGTGGGAACCAGCATGTCCGTTGAGCCGCCGAGAGTCAGACGCTTGGCTCTTCTTGCTGAACTGTTTTGTTTGGGAAAATGCAGTTCTGTTTCATAAAGATCTTTAATAGGTAACGGCTTTCCTGTTACTTTGAAAGAAATTAATGAATGTATCTTAAAAACTTCGTTTTAATTTCTCATGCAGTAAATACTGGCGGATGTAATCCACATAAGCCAAGGCTCATTGGGGTTCTGGGGAACTCCTAGCCGCGGAGGGGCTGGGCCGGCCCAGGCAGCGCCGGAGTGGAGCAAGGCCGGGCAGCCTTCTCTGCAGGCCCCCGCCGACCCCAGGAACGTGGGCCTGCTTCTCGCCACCCGTGAGCTCACCTGGGTCACCGTCCCGCCCTCTCACTTAGGCTTCCGCAGGGCCGAGTCGAGCCGTGGCTGCAGAGTGCGGGGAGTCCAGCCCGGCCTGTTGGGAGCGCTGCGTGAGCTGTGCCGGCGTCCCTAGCATGTGGCCAATCAGGTAGACGCTGGATGAGTCTCTGCCTGCTCTCAGTGGCTCCTGTGCGGACACCCGAAAACCGATGACCCTGGAGGGCCCCGGGGGGCACTTGTCAGGCTGGCGAAGTCTCCACTGCCATCCTGGAGCCACGGTTCCCCTGCGGAGCAGATTGGGTGGGTGGGATGCCGAGCCACCCCCGGCCGGTGTCGTGCTCGGTGCTGAGACAGGTGGTGGTGTTCTGAGTGCCGCCCGCAGTGTGTGTCACCCGCTCTGCACGGCCTGCCTGGGGGCAGGTCCTCTCATTACCCTGGCTTTGCAGTTGAGGCCGGGGAAGGTCAGTATCTCATCCAAGCTCCACTGGGACCAAGTGTCGAGGTGGTTTCAGCCCCGGCAGCCTGCCCCCAGCCCCTCCTGCCATCTTGTGTGGCTCAGAAGGACTGAGCTGGAGCTAGAGAGGGGCAGGTGGCTCAAGCCCCTGGGGTTGCAGCTTGGCAGGGGTGGGCTCATGCAAGGGAGAGCACAGGGCACTGGGGCTCTGGTTGGGGCCACCGTAGTCTTTGAGGGGTTATTCCCAGTGCCTGTCCCAGAGGGCACCTTGAAGGGGCTCAGTGGGGCCAGTGCCCTGGGGCCGGGAGGAACCCAGCTGAGCTGAGGTGTGGGCATGGGGCTGCCTGGGGTGAGGATGAAGTAGAGCCAGGCTGGCGGGCGGGGTGGGCAGAGGCCTGAGTGCACCCTGAATCTAAGCACTAACTCCTCTCCTCCCTCCCGACCTGGTTTTTGTCTCCTCCAGCTCTGTGGGAAGGCAGTGGCCCTGGTGTCTGTAAGAAGATGTCCTACGGATCCATTGCTGGCAGTGGTGGCCCGGGGAGCCATGGCCCTTTTGGGGGACCCTCCAGACAAGGCTATCAGCCCCTAGGTAATGACAGTGGCTCCCAGCGCTGGTGGGGTGGCGTGGCGTGGCAGTAGGTGGGTCTCTGCTGTCATGATGGTAGCGGGGGTAGGCGGGTTCTGTGTGACCAGTGTTGCCTGTGGCCAGGGGTGAGCGACCCTGGCCTTGGCTGGAGGGGGCCGACCTGGTATCTGTGGTCATTCTGGCGCCACGCTGGCCCTCAGCAGGTGCACCGAGCTGGTCTGGAGGTGCCTGGGGGCTTGGCCAGTGGCAGAGCGGATGGATGGTCTGGCCTGGTCTTCCTGATGACAATGCGGGGTAGGCGTTATTTTTGCAAATACAGAGGAGGAAACTGAGGCAGGGTGGGGTCGGGTACGCTACGCAACTGGTACAGGGCAGAGCAGGGATCCACTTCCAGCACTTCTAAGTCGCCTCCCTTTCCCAGGACGCCCTCGCCCTGAGGGCTGTGTTCCGGGCTTCGCCGCTGTTTGGCCCGGTCTTGCTGACGGGGCTGTGTCCCTGCACGGGGCCTTGCTGGCTGTGCATGTCTCGGAACTTTGTTTATGGAACTGTAGCTTTTGTCTTATCTGCCGTTTGCTGGTTTGGCTCCTGAGTCCCTGATGCTGCAAGTCTCTGTTCCCTCCTGTTTTCCTGCTCCGTGGCTGTGTGTGGCGCCCGTGCTGGTCCATGTGTGAGGGCCAGGGAACGTGTCTGTCACCCTGCAGCATGGGGGGCTGTTGGCACTGTCTGGGCTGCCCTTGGTGCCCCGGCCTCGTCAGCTGAGTGGGGGCCGGTGGTGGATGGTGAGCGGTTGCAGTCTGAGGGCAGGCCTGGTCCTCTGGGTTTTCATTTACATTTCTCTGGTGACCGATGGGATGGACTCATTTCTCCTCCCGCGGACTCTCTTTTTTTCTAGGCTTTGCCATCTTCTTACTGACTTGCAGGGTTTCTGTATGTATTCTGAAAGTGAAAACCTTGTCTGCTTGCCCTGTGCATCTTTGTCCAGTCGGGGCCTGCTTTTTGGTGTGACGCCTGCCTGCTGGGGAGCGCACGTTCTTAGTGAGCTGAGTTCTCCATCGTGGGCCGCTTGAGCGCGCCGGTCCCTCCTGCCTGGTTTGCGTTTCTGACTAGTGTGATGAATCCTATCACGAGATGGTCCTGGCGCCACGTTTACTCTTCTCTGAAGCTGATATGACTGTTTTCTGTCTGTAAGTCTTACGTCACCATCACCGGGGTTTGATATTTGTTTATGGGACGGGGCGCGGGGAGGGCTGAGAGCTGCCCCGTATTTCTCTCTCAACCACACGTCCTGGGACCGTTTATTGAAAATGCCGTCCCCTTCCTACAGACCCACAGAGCCAGAGCGCTGCGATGTGATGTTTCCGTGTAGGTTCTCTTGGTCAGTTTTTGCCTTCCTGTGCAAAATTCCGCCTTAATTTTCAGTTACAGTTTTTGATGTTTTTCACGGCAAGTTGCTCTGCTTGCTTTCCCTCAGAAATACCTTGGGTGTTTTTGGCCCTTTGTTCAGAACGCACATTTTAGAATCCCCTTGTCAGGCTAGGAGTTTTGGCTGCAGGTGCCATGCATCCGCTGCATGAATGTGGTGAGAACTGGCATCTTTACCGTTGGTGGGCTCCCAGTCCGTGAGCATATGTGTTTTTCTGTTTCTCGGATCTTCTTTCATGTTTTTCAGTAAAGTTTTATAACTTTCATTACCAAGATCTTACATATCTTTTATTAAGGTTGTTCTAACAAAAAAACCCTACTTTTTTTGCTACTGGAAGAGGTACCACTCTGAGTATTACACTTCCCAAATCTTTGTGGCTGGTACACATACACAATTGGTTTTTTAAAAAAAGCAGAGTCCAGAGATTTAATTTTTAAATGCTTTATTTTTAAACTTCCTAAATATGAACAATTTTAAACATAGAAAAGTAGACACAGTGACATACTGAGCCCAGTGCTGCCCAGTCCACCTCATTAGGAGTCTGCTGTGGCCGACCCAGCCCTTTGTGACCTCGGGCTGCTGTTGTGTCATTTGGCGGTGAGTCCCAGACACAGCATGCCTCCCGTGTGGACGCGTCCCTGTACGTCTGCAAGGAGCGACTGTGCGTAACCGGAGAGCCGCTAGAGTGCCCGGTCAGGTGCGCCCTGCCACTTCTGATGGCGTGGTGGTTCCGTGTGCATGTGGCAGTTGACTGACAGGCCTTTCAAGTCTCTCTGAAGCTCGAGATTCTCCTCCATTGGTTGGTTGGTTTGTTTTTCTCTCGAAGTTTATTTCTGGAAGGAACCATGTTTTTCCTGGGGAATGTGATTGATTTTTGTTCACTGACTATATTTTGCTAAACTCCTTCTATTGACTGTAATAGTTTGTGGAATCTTACTTTTTTTGTTTGGATGGTATCATTTGTAAATAGCGACATTTTTTTCTTTTTTTCCCTAATGCATCCATTCTTCTTTCCGCCTTCCTGAGCTGGTCGGAGCCTCTATGATGCTGGTTGACATGGTGCTTATATTCCACATGAATTTTTGGAAGAATAGGACTACACGTTCCTTAAGTGTGTCTGGGATTTTGCTATAAAACCGTCCGGGCCTCGTGTTTCCTTCCTGGAGCGCTTTTTGACTAGCAGTTCACTTCTCCGGTTGTAAAAACCATCCAGGTTCTCTAATTCTTGGGTCAGTTTTGCTCAATTGTGTTTTCTGAGACATATGTCTCTTTCACTTAAATGTTCGAATTTGTTGAAATGAAACGTAGACAGTAGCCACTGGTTGTCGATGGGGCAGCACTGTGGTGTGGCAGAGGGCCTGGTGGGGTCTGCCTGCCCTGCTCTGCCCCCGCCCAGCCATGGGCTGTCGCGAAGGCTGAGGGCCGCATGGGGTCTACCATTGTGGTGGCCGCTGTTTTATTAACGGTCACCGTATCTGCATCACATCCTCTTTTTTATTTCTAATAGGACTTATTTGTACTTTCCCTATTTTGTTTTTTTATAATCAGTATTGACTGAGGCTTGGCAATTTTGTGAGTCTCCCCAAAGAACTGACTTCTGACTTTCTTGATACCTTCTGTATATGATTGGTCTCCACTCATACTTTTTCATTTCTTCTTTCTCTCTTGGAGTTGATGTTTTATTTTTCTAACTCCTAAGTTGGATGTTTACGTCATTCCTTTTCAGTTTTTATTGTTTTGTAGTAAAAACACTTGAGATTATAAGTGTCCAGATGGTCACTGCATTAGTTGAGTTACAGACATTCAGAATAGAGAGGTGTTTTTAAATTAAAATTCAGTTGTTTTTTTATTTCCATTGTGATTTCTTATTTGACTCAGGAATTATTTATTTTTAATTTTTAATTTTTTTATGATTTTTTCCTCTCAGAATTTATTTAGAACCATAGTTCATGGTTTCCAAATGTATGTATTTTTTTTCTAGTTGTTCTCTTAAAAATGATATCTCGTTAATTACATTTTTTTATCAGGAAAGGACCTATGTTGTCCTGATTTGCAGACTGTTGTTGAGGCCTGGTGCTGCTGGTTCCTCACTCTTTCCTCTGCGGGGTGACACGGGAAGGCTCCCGGGGAGCGGCTGGCCCTCTGGGCAGGACTTTGGAGCCAGGCGGGGACCCCCATCTGTGCAGGAGAGGCCACCACCACCTGGGATCTGCTGTGCCCCAAGCACTGTGGGGTACAACATGCGCCCTGTAGGTAATTATGCGGAGCTTAGGGTGATCTCTTCGTGGTAGAATTGCAGGAAAAACACAGCAAAAAGCCAACTGGCAGGTTATTAACACATAAAGAACTCACATAAATCAAAGGAAAACCTAAAAATCTTCCTGCAAAGGGGCCAGCCCTGTGAAGAGGTAGGAAACAAGGCTGAGTCTCACCGCTGCCCAGAGATACAGACTTGAAGGGGGCAGAGTCCCCGCACTGCTGGGCCACGGTGGAGCTGGCTCGCTCCGGAGGCAAGGGCGCGGCTGCTCCCGGACCCCGCAGCCTTCCCGCTCCTGGCCTGGCCCTGCCTCTTCCTGGACTGCTAGGACGGCATCAGGGTGTGGGCAAGGGTGCTGGCTGCGGCATGGCTGTGGACAGAGATTGCAGGAGTGCCGTCACCACCTCGCTGAGGGAGGCGGCTGTGATGTGGGCATTAGCTTGAGTTGTTGAAGGTCGCTGGATGACCTCCGCACATGTCCGGACGTGGTGACAGGTGTGCTGAATGAAGTAAAGCAAAGTCGTGTCCAGAGTCTTCTAATTGTGCCAGACCCCCACCCCTGTGGTCACAGCGTTCACCTCCAGGTGCTGTAGTTGCAAACAATCCTTATCATTTCTTTGTATTTGTCTGCGTTTGAACTTTTCCCCGTAATTGTGTGTATTTTAATAATCAGAAAATTGTGTCAGGCCCCCCTCAAAGTTCAAGGGTCGTGTGATTCTGGAGGGTGGACCAGACCGGCCCCTCCACAGGCGTCTGGACCACGTGGAGTAACCAGGAGGAGGTGGGCAGGGCCTGGACTTCCGTGACCAGGTGCCAGCATGGGGAGGGCGTCAGGTGGTGATGTGGGCAGTGACGTGGCCTGCCAGCTGGGCCCCTGGCCTCCCTGCTCCCCATAGGAGGGGCTCTGGGGACTCTGAAGCAGATGGTGACCCCAGTTGCCAGGTACCTGGACAGCTGTGCCTCTTCCTTACACTGGTCTGGGCAAGTGGCTGCAGGGGAGCCTGGCGCAGCTGTCTGCAGGAGGACGTGTCCCACAGGCTCACCACCCAGCCCTTCGGGAAGAGGGGAAAGGACAGGATTTGCCTTGTGGGGAGATGGTCCCTGTCCTGGAGGCTCATGGACAGACCCTCAGACCCACAGAGATGCCCAGACGTGGGGCCTTGGCCCTGGCCTCTCTCTCATGTGCTCTGACTGTCCAGGGCCGTGTCTGCCTCCCTGGACGCTTAGGAGTGTTCTCGTAGTCTGATTTGGAAACCCACTTTGCTGCAGTTGTCTGCGGCATGGGAACCTCCATCCCCGAATAGGCCAGCTGGCCACCCTGCCCTTCCTTCTCCGTCCTTCCTGGACGGGGGAGGCTCTGGGAATGAGGGCGGTAGAGCCTCCCACTGAGTCTGGCTGGGAGCCCCGTGGGCCGCCTGTGTGCTTCGGGTCCTTGCTGCCCGGAGGCGGAGGATGGCCGAGGGGTCCAAGGGGGATCGCTCGGGCCAGTCCTTCTGTCCGGTCATGCTGGGCTGTAGTGTCCCCCCACAGAGGGACGAGAGTGTGAGCTGGACAGGTGTCCTGGGCTCTCCCTTCTCTGGGCAGATGCGAGTCCAAGGCCTTTTCTGAGAAGGAGCCGCCCCTTCAGGAGCTTGGTGCCGGGACTGGCCCTGGACAGGCCGCGTCCCCTGGGTTTCAGGGTGGCTACAGGCATGCTCAGGCGGGTCAGCCGTCACTTCCTAGAGCTCACTCTGTGAAAACTGCCCTTCCAGAGAGCTCCACAGTGAACAAGGTCACACAGATGGCCCAGGGCCATGGACTGAAAGGCACATCTTTCAGAGATGGCAAGGCGTTTTTACGAGGCGTGTCTTAGGGTTGACAAATTCTGGCAAAACGTGTCTAGGACGTATTTTTGAATAAATGAGAATGATGAGAAAATGAAGTGTCCCTCCCAGGGGTCCAACCCCGTGTGGGGCCAGTTTGGGGCTGGGTATGGGGAGGAGGCCACATGGGTGCCCAGCACCGCTGCTCCTCAGCCCTGCAGCCAAGTGTCAGGAAGGGTGGGTTTTACTTATGTTTTCACTCCCAATATGCCACGGAAGGACATTTTTATAAACAGAATGATGCCGTGCTGGGGTGCTGTGGTGATTTCGAATTGTCATCAACATCCCTAAGTCCTTACGCTCCATTTTTGTTCATCATTTGTTGCAGACATCTAACACCCATCGAAGGCCTGGCCTGGTCTGTGGGCCACACCTGAAGCCCTGCTCTAGGGGATTTCGTCTTCGTCTGGGGTCACCTTTTAGAATAATCGTGGCTTAAAGAAAGATCTGGAACATTTAAAGTTCTGAACTTGGTGCTGGTCTTCAGCCCAAGCGGCTATTGCACAGGATGTGGCAGTCTGGGAGGGCTTCTTGGACGAGGTGGGCCTGAGTGGAGCTTCTTGGTATGGATGCTTGGAGGGCTGAGGGCACCTGCTATCCCGTGTGGGGCCTTGCTCTGCCATCAGCACCCTGCGCTGCTCTGTGGGCAGGCTGGGTGTAACTGTGATGTTCCTTGCTGTCTGTAGAATGCGCTAAATGTTGGACCGAGTACGGAATCCGCCATTTCCCCTGCCCGTCGCCAGAGAGCAGCCCACAGGACCCCTGTGTGGGCCAGGATGGGGAAGGTGATCTGGGGTCAGCGGGCACGCCCAGAGGCCCAAGGGCCAGAAAGCGAGGTACTTCCGCCGGGTGCTGGGTCTGGGGGTACCTGGGAAAGGCCACCCAGAGATGCCAAGTGCTGAGGAGGGAGGGCCAGCAGGCGGGAGCCCAGGCGTGCTGAGCTGGGGGCAAGCTGCAGCACGGATTCTGGCCTGCACCCTGACCCCCACTACCTTCCCCTTCCCCGAGGATGGCAGATGGCAGGGCTGGGCCAGTGGCAGGAGGCTGTTGTGTGATGACCAGTGCTCGTCAGGGCTCCGTGGGCTCCAGGGTGGAGGCTCAGCCTGTGGGACGAGTTCCCATGGCCCCTTCACTCCAGAGCCTGGCTTCTCCTTGTAGGGGGAGCGGGTCCCTGGTGTGTGCGTTAGTGCGGAGAGGGGATGTGGGCCTCTGTAGAGGCAGCCTTCCAGTTGACAGGGACCTGGGGGGACACAGGCGGGGCTGCTGACCTCTGAGTGCTCCCCAGGCTCACACATCCTTCTGCCCTCAGGGGCTCTCAGTGTCGGGGGCTCGCTCTCTCCTCACGTCTGGGAACCCGTGGTCTCATGAGGGAGCTGCCTCTTCTGTCCTTACCGGTGGTCCCCCTGCCCCCCGGCAGGCACAGGCTGACTGCTGACAAAGCTCCCATGTGGGCAGAGGCCTGAAGACTTGGCACTGTGTGCCTGCCCAGCCCAGGGACCTCTGTGAGTGGAGGAGCGGGAGGCTGTGGGGGCAGAGAGGGTGGAGACTACGGGCCTGGCCACCTGCACGCCCTCCAGCTCCTGTCCTCCACGTGCGCTCGCGGCTGGGCAGGAAGGCTGAGGGCACCCGTCAGGCAGTCTCAGGGCTAGGACTTGGACCCAGGCCTCTGGACGCCTCGCAGGGAGGGGGCAGTAGCTGGGAGCGAGCAGCGGTGTCCTGAAGCCAAAGCCAAAGACGAGGCCAGTGCCGCAGCCGCCACTCCCGCCGACCCAGGGCCTTCAACACCCACCTTTTGGTGCCTTTCCAGGGCCAGGGGTCACTCCTGAAGGCAGTGGGACGCCCGGCTCGCCGCCCGCTGCTGGCCCGAGGAAGGACCGCGCCAGTGGGGCCCGTGGCCGGCTGGCGGGGCCCAGTGCCACGCGGGCCAAGAAAAGGAAGCCCAACTTCTGCCCACAGGAGACGGAGGTCCTGGTGTCCAAGGTCAGCAAGCACCACCAGCTGCTGTTTGGCACGGGGCTGCTGAAGGCCGAGCCGGCCCGCAGGTACTGCGTGTGGAGCCGCATCCTGCAGGCCGTGAACGCCCTGGGCTACTGCCGCCGCGACATTGTGGACCTCAAGCACAAGTGGAGGGACCTGCGTGCCGTCGTGCGGCGCAAGCTGGGCGACCTGCAGCGTGTGGCCCATGGCCCCGGCGGGCCCCAGGTCCTGGCCCTCACGCCCGTGGAGCAGGCGGTGGCCAAGACCTTCTCCTGCCAGGCCCTGTCCCCTGAGGGCTTCGGCCCGGAGCCGCTCCGAGGTGAGTCCCTTGGCCCAGCTGGCCGGCGAAGCCGAGACCCGCCGTGGGCGGGCTGCTCCTCGTCCCGCGGCCCCAGGGGCCTCCCGCCATGCCCTCCTCCTCGTCCCCGCCGCCAGGGTTGGGGCCGTTCCTGTTCCTTCGCGCACGCGCTGGTGTGGCCACGTGGGGACAGCTTTCTAAATATCACAGCGCGGCAGATGCACTTGCCTCCCCTCTGCTTTGCCTCTGCTCTCTCGCTCCCGGCTGCGGAGCGGGGAGCTGGGCGCACACAAGACGCGGCTCTCCTCTGAGGGACGTCTGCTTCCTGCCTCCGGACCATGACCTACAGGAAGAAACGTGTTTTCCTGTGTGGTCCCACAGACACACTCACACCTGAAATACGAGGTTTTCAAGACCACGGTTACTCCGCATTGTCCTCTATGCCCTGACGTTTCTCTCTTTTGCCCCACCCCATCCCCTGCTCCTACCCTGTCCGCTGAATGAAGCGCTCCTGCTGATTTTCTGGTTTTACTGCCGGGGCTGCAGAGCTGCATTTGGGAGCGCCGGGCTCTGTTGCTGGCTTAACATCCAGAACAGGCCTCAGTAAGGGCTGGGCTGGCCCTGCGGCATCAGGTGGACAGCTTGGTGGGGGGGTGGGTCACCCAGAGCCCAAGTGGTCCTTCCGCGGCTGTTTTCCAGGAGGGCGTTGCTCTGCGGGGCGTGACTTATTCTCATCTGGCGCGGTGGGTCAGAGGGCTCGATGGAGGTCAGCCCAATGTCTGGGAGCTCTGCTGGGAGCTCAGCGGGGCGGGTCCCAGACGGGTGCCCGTTGCACGGACATGTGCAGCCCCGGTGGGGCACACGGTGCAGAGCTGCCTGGGAGCTGGAGGAGGATGGAGGCTGAGCCCAAATACTGGCAGTTAGGGCGGGGGAGGGAGGCGTGGGGTGGGGGTGTGCGGATCATCTGTGCGTGCCTCCTCTGTCGTAGGTGGGTGCTGGAGGTAGGTTCTGAGGACCATTTCTCAGTCCTTACCTAGTCTTCAACTTTGGGCCAGAAAATACACGCAGAGTGTCAGAAACAAAGCAGAAGCAAACACATGTGTTTTCCTAGAGACCGGCACAGGTTGGGTCTCATCTCTGGTGCCAGCCGTGCGTACGACTTGGTGACGTGGTCTCCCCAGTGATGGGCAAGGCAATGGTCTGGGCACCGCTGCCCTGGTGACCTTGTGACCTGGTGCTGGCTGGGGCCCCGAGCAGTGGGATCCCTGAGGCTGAGGGCCTCCTGCTCTGTAAGGGGGGTGTGCAAGCCCCTGTGGGTTGCTATGCACAGTGGGAGAACTGGCCGTGCCGTGCCCAGTGCGTGCCTCGCAAAGCTCTTCCTCCCTTCTTTGGCCCATGTTCTTCCCAGACCTACCGTAACGCACGCTCGCCTCCCTCCTGCACGCCCAGAGTGCCGTGCCACACCCCGACCTCGAGGCCGCCTCCTCCCGCACAGCTGTCTGCCTCCCGGGTCCAGCGCACAACCCTGCTGTGGCCCTGGCCCCAGACCCTGCTCTGCTTTGCGGGTGTCCACTCATCCCCTGCATGGGGTGCTGGTGCGTTTGGCGAAAGATGCGCCCTCACCAGCTGGGGACCCGGCCACACACATTCCTCAGCCCTGCCCTCTGGCTTTCCATTGCTCTCACCTGGGGGTGCTCATTTCCTTGGAGCGGGCGTGAAGGAGGAGTGTGGTGCCCTCGCAGCACTGCTCCCTGCAGGCCTAGGTGGGCCCCCAGCTCCTGGCTTTCACGGCTTTGTGATTGTTTCCAGATGCTTCCTGTTCCCGAGGCCCTGGAAGGTTAGCCTTCCCTTGCAGAGTGACCTGCCCCAGTTGGAGTTTTGGGGAGTTGTTGAGCATTGTGGAAGGGTCTGTCATGTGGCCCAGGTGCGGGTGCTGTCGCTCCTCACTGGGGGTGCCCTGCCCACACTTGGATCTGGTCGCAGAGCCTTTCTTTCCCAGAGCACTTTGCAGGGCTGTTGCTGTCGAGCACGGGGAAAAGGGAAATTGCTGCTACAGGTACCTGGACGCTCTGTGCCTTGTCTGTGCAGACATGACCAATCCATCGCAGCACGATGAGCCACTCCATGGCCTGAAGCAGCCTCAGTCTCTTCAGGCTGCCACCCTGGGGAGGGGTGCCTTCATGGGGCAGGCTCCTGGCTGTCCGCCCTCCCCCCGCACAGTGAGCTCATCCCGCTGGCATGCGGCACTGCCCCGTCTCCCCCTGTACCCAGCCCTCCCTGGTTCCTCCTCTAGTGCCCTAGGCATGGGCCCGGGGCCGGGAGCCTGCATTCAGGCCAGATGCCCCCCCTGCCCCACCCCTCCTGTTGCTCTGTGCTCTGGGCACCCCCAGTGGCCATGCTGCTCGGGAAGGAGAAGGCCCCCGATGCTGCAGGGCCTTTATCCCCTTGCTGTTACGCTCTTTCCTCTGCCCCATGCTCAGGTGGTTCCGGGTCCCCTGATGCCCCTGGGCCTGCCTCCCTCCACTCGGTGTGGGGACAGAGATCCAACCCGTGTCCCATGTCACCTGGGTAAATGCACCTAGGAAGGCCCATGGAGCACATCCTGTGACACCCGAGCTTCATAACTCAAGTCTGCTCTCAGAGTGGCTGAATTCTGAGTGTTTGCTCCAGGCCACAGAGGTGGCCTGGGGCTGACGTGGGGACCCCTGGCAATCCTGCTCCCGCCACACTCCAGGATTTTGGATTTGTCTGTTTCTCCTGGCAGGTGCAGCAAGCGTGGCTCTCTGTATTTTGGAGCTCTGATTTGTGTGCGAGGCTTAGAAGGGGGGCCCTCAGGGGATTGGTTCCCCCAGCTGGAAGGGAGCAGGGCCCTGTGGTGGGGGAGGCAGGCTGTGAGGGGGGCGGGGAGGGGCGGGCAAGGGGGCTTTGTCCTGTCCTTCGCCGCTGGCCCCGTTGGGCATGCTCGGACCTGCCCTTGCTGGGGGTCGCTCAGGGTGGGGCGTACATACCCCCATGTCCTGTCTGTGGATGTGGCCAGTGTTGTCCAGGGAAGGGGCTGCTGCTGTCATCCCTGGCCTCCTTGGGGTCCTGGGTCTGTGCAGGCACTGTGCCCGTGGACCCCCAGCAGCCTGTGAGGAGATGGTGCTGTCACCCCCCTCCCCCCCAGCAGTGCGAGTGCGCCAGGGCACTGGGTTTTGCCCAGGCCTGTCCGCTCTGCGGCCGAGAGGTCCCCTGACTTCCCTTGCTCGTCCTGCGTCTGGGGCACTGTATCGCCACTTGGCCTCCTCCTGCCTGGTGCGAGTCGACACCCCAGTCCTTCCGCCGGCCGTCTGTTGCAGCTGGGAGCCGCGTGGTGGGGCAGAGCCCAGCAGAGCCCGCCGTCCGCCTGGCTCATGCGGCGGGGCAGCTGGGGACAACGTTCGGTTCCATGGGGGTCTCTGTGCTCCTGCCACTCTCCCTCCCGCATTACTGGTGGGGCTGCTGCCTCTGGGCCCCGGGGAAACGAGGGGCAGGTGGCTGGAGCAGACGCGGAGCTGGGCCCCTTGGCGGATGGAAGGCATTGCCAAGTGTGCATCGGAAGCCTCGGGTCCCCTTCCTGCAGCGGGCAGATAACGCCGCGCACCTGCACAGAGATGCCGGTAGGGCCAGTAACTTTGATCTGGTGGCTCGAGAGCGTCCCATTGTCTTTGCTCACGATAGAAGCAGAGGGCGGGGAGGAGGAGTCCCAGAGTAAAGCACGATGAGTTCTGCTGATTTTACTTTTTTATTTTATCCACGCTTCATGTGGTCGTGCAGGGCCTGGGAGTGATACATTGCGTCCACGTGCAAGGTTTGGTGATGTGTGCCCAGGACGCACCCCTAGCGGCTTCCCCATGGCGGAGTTTAGCGAGGGGGTATCACGACTCATGCCGTGCCCTGGCCCAGGGCAGCTACTAGCTTGCTTTGTGCCGCCGTGGCGTGGGCCTCTGTGGACTCTCGGGCACGTGGACTCCCGTGTCAGGGGTCCGGTGGCTTGTCCTCCCATTGCTCAGGAGTGGGCATCTCACAGTGTCTCGTCTGCCCTAATGGATGGTTGTGTGGTTGCCAGCTTTTGGCTGAGTGAAGGCACCGCGAACCTTTCTGCAGACATTCTCACTGTCTCCGGGGCTTGGAGAGACATTTAACTCGCTCCGAAACTTCCAAACTGGTTTCCAAAGTGGCTATCCCACTGGGTTTGCACAGCAGCGCGCGGGCTTGTGCACGCTCTGCATTTCTTCACCATGTGCCCCATGGCCGTGTGGGCGGGCGTCACTGCAGCATGTCCTCTGCTGTGGTCGGCGTTCCCACCGGGCTGGGGGCCGGCCCGCACTGCTTGCGCCTGTCCTGGTGTCTGGGTTCCGGGGCCATTGGGTAACCGTGGTGCAAACCTTCTGTCAGGCTCTGCATTGTCTTGTCTTTTCTTGATGGGGTCTTTTTGAAGCTTTTTGCATTTTGATGTTATCGGTGTTTTCTTTTGGTGTTTCTGCTCTTTGTATCCCACCTAAAAAGTTCTTGCCTACTACAAAGTCCCAGAATTACTGTTTTTTGAAGTTTTTTTTTAAGATTTTATTTATTTATTCAACAGAAAGAGAGGCAGCGAGAGAGGGAACACAAGCAGAGGGAGAGGGAGAAACAGGCTTCCCGCTGAGCAAAGAGCCTGACGTCCCCCGGACCCCAGGACCCCGGGATCATGACCTGAGCCGAAGGCAGACACTTAATGACTGAGCCACCCAGGCGCCCCTTGAAATTTTTTTAAGATTTTATTTATTCATTGTTTTTTGAAGTTTTTTTTGAGAGAGAGAGAGCAGGAGCTGGGAGAGGGGCAGAGGGAGAGGGAGAAGCAGACTCCCCTCAGAGCAGGGAGCCTGATGTGGGACTCGATCTGAGGACACTGAGATCATGATCTGAGCTGAAGGCAGACTCTTAACTGATTGAGCTACCCAGGCGCCCCTGTTTTTTGAAGTTTTATAGTTTTAGCTTTTTTGTTTAAGTGTCTGATACAT